CGGCCAGCCCTCGAGGATCTCGAAGCCGTCATCTCCATGAGGCACCTCTGCCTCAAGTTCCCAGCCGAGGGGGGCATCGGTTATTCAAGGGGGAACCAAAAGCTTGCCCGCGCTTGCTACCTTCAAGTGACAAAAAAGGTTAGCAAGACGGAGTCCCGCGTTGACACCATCACCGGAACTGTGGAAGCGGAAGAAAGGAGACCGAGGGCTGAACCAGCCGAGGAGGTAGAAGACTTCGCACTCGATCCGGCCAAGCCGGAGAGAGTCGTGAAGATTGGAGCCAAGCTCCCCGAAGACTTGAAGACCGACATCATCAGCGCCCTCCGCGCCTACTCCGTCGTTTTTGCATGGGGGCGGAGGACATGCCGGGGATCAGGCGAAGGGTCATCACCCACCGCCTCTCGGTGGACCCTTCGACCAAACCAGTACAGCAGCGGAGGAGACCCCTCTCGGCCGAGAGGAGGGAATTTGTGAAGAAGGAGGTCGCCATGCTCCTCTCTATCAAGCACATCAAGGAGGTAAAGTACCCCTCATGGCTGGCAAACGTAGTCCTCGCACAAAAACCGCCCTCATTCCGCATGTGCGTGGACTACACGGATCTCAACAAGGCGTGTCCCATGGACCCCTTTCCTTTGCCAAACATTGATCGACTTGTAGATGAAACCGCGGGGTGTGAAATCATGTCATTCCTCGACGCATTCCGCGGATATCATCAAATATTTATGCATGAGGAAGACGCTGAAAAAACAGCCTTCATGACTCCCGAGGGCATTTTATGCTACCTTGTCATGGCCTTCGGCCTAAAGAACTCAGGCGCCACCTACACTCGGATGGTGGCCAGGGTATTTCAAGCTGTCCTAGGACGTACCATGGAGGCATATGTTGACGACATGATCGTCAAAAGCAAGCAATCAGCGAGCCATGCTGACGACCTGAGGGAGATCTTCGCCATCATGCTGAAATTCAATCTTCGGCTAAACCCGAAGAAGTGTACCTTCGGCGTTCAAGGGGGCAAATTCTTGGGCTACATGGTGAGCCGAAGGGGTATCGAGGCCAACCCCGAGAAAATCCAGGCCATCGTCAACATGGAGCCCCCACGCAACGTAAAGGAGGTCCAACGATTGACAGGCCGTCTGGCAGCCCACAATCGCTTCTTATCAAAATCGGCGGAGAAGTCCTTGCCCTTCTTCCAGATCATGAGAAAAATCGCCAGTTTTCAGTGGACTTCAGAGTGTCAGGGGGCCTTCGAGGAACTGAAGCGGTACTTATCTTCACCCCCTGTGCTCTCTAAACCCAAGGTGGGGGAGATCATATACCTTTACCTGGGTATTAGCCCGACAGCCATCAGCTCAGTACTCATTCGGGAAGAGGATGACATCCAACATGCCATCTTCTATGTTAGCAAGACCCTCGGGGAAGCGGAGCTCCGGTACTTCCCTGTGGAAAAAATGGTGTTGGCTATCGTGTGGACCGTCAAGGAGTTGGGCCATTACTTCCAGGCTCACCCGGTCCAGGTCCTCACTCACCAACCCCTCGGCGCTTAGATGAGGAGCCCCACCAGGTCCTCTCGAATGGTAAAATGGGCTGTCTTCCTGAGCCAATACAACATCGAGATCCGTCCTAGCCTCGCCATCAAGGGCCAAGCCCTGGCGGACTTCGTGACGGAATGTACGGCAAGATCAGCCACGGACGAGGAGCCCTCGGCCCCCTCGGACGATTGGTGGACCCTCTACACCGATGGCTCCTCCGCCGTCAAAGCATGTGGAGGAGGGGTGGTTCTCATGAGTTGATCTTTAGTGTGAACATGAAGTAACACGAAGTAGACCTTTAGCAATGTGCTCACGAACAAAGTGGAAGTCGATAGCTACGTGTTTCATGCGAGAATGAAAGACAAGATGTGAGCAGACATATGTAGCACTGATGTTATCACAGAAGACTGTTGGTGGGTGACTGAAGGTGATCTTCAGTTCAGCTAGAAGTTGACGTGGCCAAATGAGTTCGGCTAAAGTAGAAGCGACTGAGCGGTACTCGGCTTCCGTGGATGAGCGGGCCACTGTATTCTGTTTTTTTGAACTCCAACTGATGGGATTACAACCAAGGAAAACAACATAAGCAGAGGTGGAGTGTCTAGTGTCAGGGTCACCGGCCCAATCGGCATCAACAAAAGCATGAAGAGAAAGGCGTAGAGGCTGATAGAAATATACCAAAATGAGCAGTGCCCCGGAGATAACGGAGAATCCGCTTAACTGCTTGCCAGTGTTTAAGCGTTGGACGATGCATGAATTTAGCAAGTTTGTTGACAGCAAAACTAATATCTGGTCTTGTGAATGCGAGATATTGAAGAGCACCAAGAGCACTCCGATAGGTGGTGATATCACACAGTGAGGAGCCATCATGAAGAGATAAAGATTCATTTGTAGAGATAGGATTTGGTGTGGGAGCAGTAGAATCCATTTGAAGACGGTGAAGGAGATCACGTGTATACTAGTGCTGAGTAAGAAAGAGACCATGACTAGTACGTCTAGCTTCAAGAACCAAAAAACAGGATAGAGGTCGAAGGTCTTTAAGAGAGAACCGATGAGCGAGAGATGTAACACATGAGGATAGAGCTTCGGAACTGTTGCCGGTGAGAATAATGTCGTCCACATAAACCAAGAGATAAAGAGTGTCTCCTTTGGAGGTATAGATGAATAATGATGTATCACACTTACTATTGTGAAACCCAACTTTGAGAAGATAATTTTCAGCTCACAATACCACGCTCTAGGGGCCTGCCGAAGACCATAGATTGCTTTGTGCAGCAAACATACATGAGTAGGAGTAGTGGCATCAACGTAGCCGGGAGGCTGTTGCATAAATACCTCTTCAGATAGGGATCCCTGCAAAAAAGCATTATTGACGTCAAGTTGGCGAATGGGCCAACGGTGCATGACGACAATTGTTAAAACAAGACGAACTGTTGCCGGCTTGACAACCGGACTGAAAGTGTCGGTAAAATCAACTCCCGGACGTTGATGGAACCCTTTAGCAACTAGGCATGCTTTGTAACGGACCAAGGAACCATCCGGGTTTTGTTTCACCCGATAAAACCATTTACATCCAATAATATTTTGTGTGGGGGAAGCTGGAACGAGGGACCAAGTATGGTTATGAAGGAGGGCTTTATATTCGTCGTCCATGGATTTTCGCCATTCAGGGCTAAGGGAGGCTTGTTATGTGTAGTTGGGATAGGGGGAATAGAGACGTGGAAGAGATATTTGGGATTTGGTTTGTATACATTATTCTGGGAACGAGTAACTGGACGTGAAGGAATTGGTTGGGGATTGGAATTAATGGGTGTGCTAGATGGCTGGGAGGATTTGGAAGAGTCAGGAGAAGTGTACGTGTTGGCTTGAGAATTATTTGAGTGAGATAGAGGGGTGACTCATCATGAGTGGGAGAGGATATATTGGTGGGAGAGATATTAGTAGGAAGTTGGCTTGAGGGAGGAGAATTAGGAGGGGTCGTTGAGTTGGCAGAAGAGGATATGGATGGTTGGCTAACTGGAATGAATTGAGGAGATAAATGAGTGGAGGATGGGTTTTGTGAGGTGTGCGATTGAATAGGCTGCCTGGTGAGAAAAGTACGGAGAGTTTGGTCATAGCTTTTTTTAGTGGGGGAAGAATTATTTTTGTAGGGAAAGAAGTCCTCAAAGAATAAAACATGACGGGTGATATAGACTTTACGGGTTTTGGGGCCTAGGCAATGGTGAGCATGGTATATGTTGGAAAAGCCTAGATAAACACATGGTTGTGAACGAGGTTGAAGTTTGTGGGTGGTATAGGACGTAACCATGGGTAACATAAACATCCAAATACTTTTAGAGAGAAGTATAATCAGGTGGTTGGTTAAACAATTTTTCATATGGACTAATGTTTTGGAGAGTGGGGGTAGGCATGCGATTAGGCTTGGACTCGGGTCGGGCCACCCGGCCCGTGGACCAGCCCGGCCCGCTACTGTGCGGGACCGGGACCGCCCCGGTTCTCGGGTCCGGGTCCGGGTCGGGCCTAGGCCCGGGGGGTAGGGCGGGTCCGGGCTCGGGTCTCAATTTTGGTGAACCGGCCCGGGCCAAATTGAATTTTTTTTATTTTTTTTTCATTTTTGGGGTTCCACCCGGGTTGGGCTTGATGGGTAGGATGGGTTTGGGGGTGTTTGGGAGGGTGGGGGTGAGGGGGGGGGTTAGGAAAGCAAAAAAAAAAAAAAAAAAATCCAAACCAGAGGCCTGGCCCGGCCCGGTCCGGACCCGGTGGGTACCCGGGCCGGTCCCGGGTCCACCATTCTTGAACCGCCGGCCCGCCCGGGCCTAGGCCCGACCCGGACCCAGCCCGGACCCGAGTCCAACCCTACATGCGATTTATAAGATAAGTGGCATGTTGAAAGGCTTAAGGCCTGTAGTAAAGAGGGACATCGGCTTGAAATAATAAAGCGAGTGATGTCTCTACTACATGGCGGTGTTTTCGTTCAGCGGTGCCAACATGTTCTGGAGTGTTTGGGGGAGACATGAGATGTTGAATGCCATGTGTAGCAAGTAGAAGAGTAAGAGACTTAAATTCCCCACCACCATCAGTATATAACGTGCATCTTAAAATAATTTTCAATAAGAATGCGAAAATTATTAAAGACATAATACACATCAGATTTGTGCTTGAGAGAATAGAGCCAAGAATATTTTGTGTAATAGTTAACAAAGATTACGTAATATTTGGCATTATTAATGGCAGAAATAGGAGGTGGCCCCCATACATCAGAATAAATAAATTCAAACGGCCTAGTACAGTTTATTGAAGAAACATGAAATGGTAGTTTGTGACTTTTTGCTTGAAGACAAGGTGAGCAAAATGATTTTTCGGGAGAGCATTGTAATTTATTTGTGGAGAGAATATGACGTTGAACAGTAGAATTGGGGTGACCAAGCCTTTGATGCCATAAATGAGTGGTGGCTGTGGCTGCTAATGGTGGAGAGGAGAAGGACCATGTGTAGAGATTGTTGTTACTCTGGCCTCGGGCCAAGAATACCCCGATCTTGAGATCCTTCACAATAAAGGAATCAGGTAAGAATTCAATGGAGGTGTTATTTTGTTTACAAAATTGATTAACAGAAATAAGGTTACGACGAATAAGAGGTGCACACAAAACATTATTAAGTGTAAATTTTTTATCAGATGAAACAATACCGGGGGATCCAATATGAGAAATTGGAATACCATTACCATTTCCCATTAGAACTGAGTCGTTGCCATTATAATCAGAATGGATAGCCAAATTGTTCAAGTCAGAGGTTATATGATGCGTAGCACACTAGCACCCGTGTCCAGTAGCCAATTTTGATTGTTGCCGGAATCAGATGGGCTATCTGCCATATTTGCAGTAGGAGAAAATACACCTCTGGAGTGGCATTGTCTGGCTGTGTGACCAATTTTGTCACACGATTGACAGATAGGGCGCTGAGAGGGAGGTCCGGAGAAGATCTTTTGGGAATCACCGTTCCGATAAGATTGTTGAGAAGAGGAATAGCTGCCAGACTGAGGTGGGCAGCCTCGACCACCACGACCTCGGTTATTATAGTCACCGCGACCGTGATAGTTATTGTTATAGTTCCGCCGCTGAGTGTAATGGGCTGTGATAGGTGTTTCGGTAGTATCTCCAGCCAGCATTTCAGCATGACGAAAATGATCACGGAGATCCTCAAAGGATAGAGGAACACGCTGCACACGTAGGGCTCCAACAGTTTCTTTGTATTCTGAACCAAAACCAGATAGGATACAAGACATGATTTGTCCATCGGGAAGAGGATGACCGATGGTAATCAAATCATCCATGAAGCCACGCATGGTGTTGAAATATTCCATCACTGTTTTTCCAGCCTTCTTAGTTGTAGCAAGGCTATTGAGTAGAGAGAGCATACGGGTTGTGGATTTGTTTGCGAAGCTAGATTCTAGCTTCTGCCACGCATCAGAAGAAGAGATGCAGCTGTTGATAATTGGACTGACCGTATTTGATACGGTGGATTGAATAACAAGTAGGACAAGACGATCTTGCCTAGTCCAGAAATGATATGTAGGTGATGATTTGTCTGGTTTCTGATTGCTGCCATCAACAAATCCTAGAAGATCATATCCAAAGAGTAAGTTGGTGATTTGGGCCTTCCATGAAGAGTAGTTAGAGCCGTCTTATGAGAGTTTCAGAGGGATTTGAGAGGAAGCATTAAGGGATATGAGTTGTTGGGTAGATTCTGAATCAAGAGAGATTGAGGAAGATGAGCCTGGTGTGGTTACAGGAGGGTTAGACATTTGGCTTTAATAGAGAGTGGGATTTTCTGACTTTGGTTAAGCTGGCCGTAGGTGGATCAAGGCAGTAACTTTACTGCAAGCTCTGATACCATAAAGAATGATTCATACGTGAGCTATATGAATAGGCAAACTCAGGAATAATGCTCTGTATATTTACTATGATGATTTACAGAATGTATGAGCTAGTATTTATACATTCTCTCATATTGCTTTGATGTCCCTATTCAAGTTCTCAAAGTGGTCACTTATTGTAATACCCCCATCCCATAAGATCTAAGGTTGTTACTCTTTATACATGGTACTGTCCATACAACTCAATACAATTCTTTACCACACACTTTGTCCCCACCCGTGAGTCCCCACAGAAAACTTCTCAGTTTACCAATTACCACCGTCCACCAAAGAGAAATTAGAGCAGCAGCAGCCTCCAGTGTGCCATCCGGCCGTCCGAATGCTGAGCGGGCTGAGCCACCGTGCGCCGTCCTGACCGTCTGGCAGAGACTGAAGATGGACGAGGGTTGTTGCATGCCTGCGTGTTAGATTTCTAGGTCGGGAATTGGTTTTGGCGTTTGGGGGGTTTTGACGAACTCGCCGAAGCAGAAAGAAAGCACGAAGCGGACTGCTCGACTTCCCATGCGCCTGCTTGGACTTGTTAATTTGGACTGGGCCACATTTTTTAAAAATGGGGACTGGGCCTGATTTTTAAGCATATATGCTACTTAAAAAAATTGAGCAGGGCCTGGGCCTGGGCCCTCCATGGCCCTAGGCCCAATCCGCCCTTGGACACGAGGTCAGATGCGGAGGTTGCACGGCGGCGTCCGAGCGTGGCGTGACAAAAAGCGCAACATTGATGGTGGCGTAGGTAACGCATCACGGCAGCAATGTGAAATCTAAAATGGAAGAGAAGAAAGGCTGGTGCAAGGATTAGGATTGCATTTATATTAGGAGCGTTTTGTCCGTTTACATATACATATATATAGTCTATTTTTTGTCCAAATTGAAAAATAGTCTTACTTTTGTCTAAACTAAAATTGGTAGTATCATTTCTGTGATTATTCCAACTAACAATCTGAATGAGAGAGTAGAAATATAATGTTTTGTACATCTAATGAAGTCAATGCAGCTTAATTAGCAATCCATCTATCCCCCCCCGGCCAGGCCAATAATAAAATCTTTTTGACCATGCATGCATATACTCCGTATTATTTATCAGGTAACAGTGGATAATGGCTTTCTAAGAATTACTTTTTCGACTCCTGCTGGAATGGTTACTCAAGTTCAGTATAATGGAATTCACAATTTGCTCGAAGCTCAGAATTTGGAAAACAATCGAGGGTACGTGCATATATAAATAACTACTCCGTACTTGATTACAAGACCCCTATTTTATAATTTTATACTACCACCGTCCCAAATAAAATTGTCATTTCATAAAATTTGAATCATAATTTTGATTAGTATAATATTATGAAAATTATAAATTTTATACTTTTATGAAAGTATTTTGAACAAAGAACTTTTTCATATAATTTTTATAATATAAATAATTTCCAATAAAAATATTTAGTTGGTCAAATTTATGAAAATTGACAAAGTTTTTTGGGACTGAGGTAGTATATGGTCATATACATACAGGGGTGGACACAGGAAATTCATCTTGGGAGGCGAGACTCGGTGGTACATCCAGATTTTTTTATTGGTGACCAACTTACACGAGAACTTAGTAACATATTTCACAAATAGCAAATCACGTTACTAATATTTTTTTATTAGACTTAGTTTAAGTTATATATGTACAAGTACGTATAAAAAGGAGGTCAATTTATATGACGTGTGTGCAAAGATTCAATCGTACATAAAATTTGAGAAAATTACCTCAATAGAAGTTAAACATAATAAAATTCAGTGAATTTTTTATCCTTTTATTCTTTTAATAGGATTACATAAATCTTATGTTTAGGGAATAAAATACTTTTAGTCCTATTTTATAATTTTTAATATGTTTAACTCATATTTTAAGAAATTTGCTATAAAACTTTTGGTATATATATAGGGGCAGGGTTGGGGCGGGGGGCAACTGTCCCCATTGCCCTCACAATGGATACATCCATCGCCGTAGTTAAAACAAAATAATTGTAAAAGTTCATTATTATAATTTTTCTATATATTTTTCTATAGCATATATAATGAAGCATTAAAATAGTACATAGTGGACAAAAAACAAGAAGAAGAGAAAAATATATTATTAAAAAAGAGTAAAATTAATATCTTAAAATTATATCCGGTATTACTCCGAAGAGATAAATTTTTCAATCACACCTTCCGAGTCAAAAGCTTATGAGAATCCCTAATTTTATTTTCATACAGAGATGGAGTATTATAGTACATGTCACTTTCAATTTCTATTTTTAAGAATTGGACTTGCCCTCAAATTTTCAAATTTTTGTTGAAAAGAATATACAAACATTCATAGTAAATAGATATATATAGATTATGAAGCTGTTCTGTTCGTCTTATTCTTATTGCTTATTCTTATTTTATTCAGACCAGATCAGACCAGATCAGAAAAATTCAGATCAGATCAGAAAGATTTAGATCAGATCAGAAGCATTCAGATGAGATGAGAAACATTCATAGCAAATTGGAAACATTATATTATTATCGATTATTATTATTATTATTATTATTATTATTATTATTATTATTATTATTATTATTATTATTATTATTATTATTATCATCATCATCGGCGTCGTCATCGCCATCGTCATCGTCATCCTCATCATCCTCATCATCATCACCATCACCATCACCATCACCATCACCATCACCATCACCACCACCGCCGCCGCCGCCATCACCATCACCATCACCATCATCATCATCATCATCATCACCGCCACCGTCACCGCCATCGTCACTGCCACCGTCGTCGTCGTCGTCGTCATCGTCATCATCATCATCATCTTGATTATTATTATTATTATTAATATTATCATTATTATTATTATTATTATTATTATTATTATTATTATTATTATATACCGGTTTAGAAAATTAAGATCACATCAGATCTATTCAGAAACATTCAGAATAGATAGATTTAGATCAGATCAGAAAGATTCAGATCACATTAGATCAGAACTTAAAAAATTCAGATTAGAAACATTGAGATCAGACGAAGAGAACAACTTCTGTGTGTCACTTTTTAACTTTTAATTTCTACTTTTTGATTTCTTGCATTTTTTACCCATAGTAAATATTTAATTAAAATTTGGGAAAGCAAATATTTAATTAAAATTTGGGAAAAAAAATTGGGCGGGGTCGTGACCCCTTGAGTCTGGTCTGGTCTGGTCTGGTCTGGTCTGCTTTGTTTTGGTCTGCTTTGTTTTGGTTTGGTCTGGTCTGGTCTGAAATTTCATTTTTTATATTTTTTGCATAAAGATTTTATTATATATATATATATATATATTATAATCCATAAATAATTATATTTTATTCATTTTTAATTAAAAATAATAATAGTAATAATAGTAATAATACTAATTATAATAACAATAACAATGATGATGATGACGACGACGACGACGACGATGATGATGATGATGATGATGATCATAATAATAATAATAATAATAATAATAATAATAATAATAATAATAATAATAATAATAAAATATGGTATGGTCTGGTCTGAAATTTTATTTTTTATATTTTTTGCATAAAGATTTTTCTTTTTTATATTCCCTCTGTCCCGTTGGAATGTTCCCATTCACTATTCATTGGTCAACTTAGGTCACTCCTAATCTTTTATTTTATATATCAATTTTTTATCAAATTGAACTTTTCTTGATCAAGCTTTGTAGCGGTTTTAATGTAGTTTCTGAATATGTAAATTTTATGTACTAAAAATAAACGGAGTGTGAACAGGGATCGAGTTGCTTTATTGTCAGTCAAGTATCGTAAACCGAACGGGAACATTCCAACGGGACGGAGGGAGTATATATTATAATCCATAAATAATTGTATTTTATTCATTTATAATTAAAAATAATAATAGTAATAATAGTAATAATAGTAATAATACTAATAATAATAACAATAACAATGATAATGATGATGATGATGATGATTATGATGATGATGATGACGACGATGATGATGATGATGATAATAATAATAATAGTAAAATATGATCTGATCTGGTCTGATATGTTTTGGTGTGGTCTGGTCTGGTCTGATCTTGGACGAATTAGAGTCCAAGTAAAAACAAGCTAATGTTGGTCGCCGCTACATACATACATACAATAATGGCTGCATTGTAATTTATATCCTAATCTCAATTTATAGATACTGGGACATTGTGTGGAATAAAGGAGATGCACCGGGCAACATTTTTGATAAGTAAGTTCCCCTATGTCACAAGTTTAAGATATACGGAATATTTAATTGGGAAAATCGTAAATTTTGTGCTCGTATTATCACGAAAAAACCAATTAAGTCTTCGTACTTTTTAAAAAATCAACCAAATTTCCGAACTTTGTAAAAACGCTCAATTGAGTTCATTAACAGGCTATCCGCCATGTCAACAAGTCACATAGTAGACATGGACACATGGACCATCACGTGTGCGCTACGTGAGTGGCTGAACTGCCGACATGGCAGACAACCTGCTAATTGGCTCAATTGAACGTTTTTTCAAAAATCAAGGATTTGGTTGATTTTTTTTTAAAAATATGAAGACCTAATCAACTTTTTTCGTGATATTACGAGGGGCAAATTGACTGTTTTTCGGATATATGCTTTCAAATAATGCACCGTTTCATAGCTGGTAATAATAAATAGAATCTCTGTCCCCGCTTAAAATTATGACACCTTTTTTTAAACAATAATTAAAAAAGGGTAATTTGAGTTTATTTTGAAAGTTGATTTGAGAGGATTTATATTAACTATAATTAGGTTATTGATGATTACTATGAGTGTATTATTTTTAATACACAATGATTACTTTATCATTTAACAGTCTTACTTATTTCCTAAAATATACGAGTAAATAAGAAGTGTTAAATAGGACATTCAAAAGTGATAAGTGAGAGCCTCTACCTCCCGTTGAGTAATTGATTAGTGTTAATTCTGTTTTAGCTTAAATAATTACAGGCTTGAGGGGTTTAACTATACGACAATAATGGATGATGATGATCAAGTAGAGCTTTCATTCACACGGAAATGGGATACTACGTACAACGACTCACTTCTTTCCATGAATGTTGACAAAAGGTGCACTACTGTTATTTTATTCTCCACGAGTGCGCGCACGTAGGGCCACAGCTTTGTTGATTTTTTACCCGACTATTACTAATAAATTAAAGGAAAAATCAATTGAGCAATTTGCCCGGTTAACCTAAGTAGTTAACTCACTACTCGGTAGTAACTCGGTCAAAGATCGAGTAGAGAGTAAGACCGATTACTCGGGATTACTCGGTGATTACGCAGCCTTGTATTAATTAAATTTATTCACATAAGTGCCTGAGATTATAGAAATATTACAGTCTTAAAATTAGCTTAAAATGCATAGAAATGAATAAAATGATAGAAATACTAATGATAGAGTAGCAAAAGTCATAAATATTCTAAGTATTCAAGAAAATCAATCCTCTAATAAATTGGTAAGATCTCTGTTCTCTCCCCATGTCCATCCTATATCATCTGATTTTCTCTTAAGTGTAGTATTAGCATATTCAGAACCATTAAAAGCCTCAGCAGACTGAGCAGAGTTCATGACTGTCAATTAGATGATGTGTGACAATGTGTATCAATCAACGATATTAATTAAAAGTTATGTAGTATAATATATATATAGTTATACTAGTGAAAAGAATTTATTTATATCAAAATGTACGTGTGTATAAATATTAAACAATCACGATGGTGATATTTTAAGAATGCTGAATAGAACAACTAGCGAAGAAGGATGGGAGGGTGGAAGAAGAAGAAATGAGAGATGGGAGAGCGGAAATACGAGAAAGAAAAAGGCCAAGACCAAGCATCCCTTTTAAATATCGAAGAATCCGATGAGCCGCGTCCTTATGTGTTTGTCAATGAGAAGAGAGGAACTGGATTAAATGATTAACGGAGAATACAATATCAAAAAATGTGACAATGGTGAAGGTGCCCTTATCGGCTGGCCGACGCAGGCACTGGAACCAAGGCCGTTGGTCGAGCGAAAGTTCTTTGGGAATTTGTTTAAGTGTTTCCCAAACACTTAGAAAAAATCATGAGAAAAAAGGGTTCCTCAACAAGGAACCATGGCTAGCCGACGAAGGCAGGACCATCTCCTTGGACAAGCCATTCCTTATCCAGCACCCTCATTGGCCACAAGCCAGACCTTGGCCGGCAGCGGCACCGCAAAGAAGTAAATGCCTAACATTTATACTTAGGAAATTATCTAAGTACTCAAACGAAGGAACTCTAGCCGAAGCGGGTACCAGTATACTACAAAGCCGTTAGCTACCTACACCTCCGCATGTGTACTTGGGAAAATTCAAAGTCCACAAGACTATGGTGAAGGTGCCCTTATCGGCCACAACACAGGGATGCAGGCCGGCAATGACACTGGTTCAAATAATGGGGAGAGACTAAACCCCATGGACGTAGCGGACACCACGATCAAGGGCAAAAGGAAAGCACCTAAGTGGATCCCAAAACACTTAGAAAATTTTTGAAAAAAATCCTAAGTGTTATGAAACTACGTCCAGGCCGATCAAGCCACTAGGCCGTAAAGACAGCAGCTACATGGACCCAAAAACACTTGGAAAATTTTTGAAAAAAATCCTAAGTGTTATGATAGTAAAGCAAAGATGAATAGGCCGACCAGACTACCGGACAGGAAGGCCAACCTCACGGACGTAGCGGACACTCGCGGGTGACCCAAGTTATGACTTGACACTTAGACAATTTACAGAATCGAAATGACAAAAGGCAAACAACCATACAAGGGATTCAAAGCCGAAAAGGACAGCAAAAAACTTTTCATTCAAAGTGAGTTCATTACAATTGGGGGCACTTCGGCCGTTACATCATTTGGCAAAAAATTGAAAAGCTAATTACAACAGGGAATAGCCGATCAAGCCTCCGGGGCACCTTCATCCGCGGCTGGCTCTTCAACCTCATCAGCTCCCTCATCGGCCTCAGCTTCTTGGCCGGCAGCGGCTGCGGCGATGGTGGCATCGTCTAAGAAATCAAATTCAGTATAATCCGGCTCGCCAAGGCCGGAGCTTTCTATGGGGGACTCTCGCTCCGACAGCGGAAGCTTGGCCTGCTCTTCTGGATCCTTCATCAGCTTCGGCAGCTTCAGGGTCCGTCTAGCCCACCCAGACGTGTAATTCATGGCCTTCAACGCCCGGGATAGCCGCCGACACAGGAGCCTTTGCATCCGCTCCTGGCCCAGGTTATAATACACAGACATCTCTCGGCTGAAATACTCCCGGCCGGCGGGGGAGTTCATCCCCCAACTCTCAAGCCTGGCGGCCACCACCTCGTAGCACCAGGGGAGCCTCTCATCGGCCTTCCACCCCTCGGCCAGGAACTTCTCAACGGCCTCGTCAGCAGCCCTCACAGCGGCGGCCTCGGCCTCAGCTTTCGCCTTAACGGCCTCCTCGCTCGTGCGCCTCTCGGCCTCCAGCGCCCTTCGGGACTCCTCGAGCTCCCTTTTGCTCTCCTCGAGCTTGGCCAGGGCATCGTCCCTGGCTGCGGCGGCTTCATCAGCCCTTGCCTGCAACGCCTTGGCATCCTCCCGGAGCCGATCAAGGCAAGCTACCGCCTCGTCGGCCGAGGCAGCCTTCTGCTCCAGCTCTTTCAAGCGAGCTATCTCCCAATACTGCCTCTTATGGCTTTCCATAAGCATAAAGGCACTCTGCAGAAGGAAAACAAAGGTCAGGCAAAAGACTCTACACAGACGAAGAGAAAGACAAAAACATAAGGACAGTAACTTACTTGGACGAAGAGGTCCATGCCGCCCTCGTAAATCTTCTCGTCCCCGAGCTTCTTCAAGTAAGCCCGATCTTTGGCCGGCATGGCCTGGGCCAGGACGACGTGGCCAGGGATGAGATCATTAAACACGCCCCCGCCGACGGGGTATTTTACCACCTTCTGGTAGGTGGCACCGGCAATCTCCTTGCCGGCCCTCTTCGTCCGTGGTTCCTGGACGAGAGGAAGCGATGGGGCAGCATTGTCAGCAGCAGTAAGGTCCACGACGGGGCCACCATCGTCCACGTTGGGGACAGTCAGAGTACCGGCCTCAGTAGCCGGAGAAGGGGAAGGAGCCCTCTTCGTCTTCTTCGAGACGCTCACGCCGGCCTCAGTTAACTTTTTCTGGCCGTCAGTGGCCGGCCTTTTCTTCTTCGATGGAGCAGGCTTTGGGGCCGCATCAGCAGTAGCCCCGCTCCCACCGGCCGCGGAACGTCTGGCCGCTTCTGCCGCCTTAGCAGCAATCTCCTCGGCCGCTTTGGCCTTGGCAATAGCCATCATGGAACGCCGGTCCATGACAAAATCTACAAAGGAAAAAACACAAACAGATTAGTAAGGCAAAGGACAAAACATAAAGACAGAAAGCCGAAGAAAGAATTACCATCGGCCTCAGCAGGAATGCCCAAGTCCGGGCCGTCGGCCTCCTCAAAGGTGGTGGTCATCCTCGGCCAGAGTTGGAGGTCATCCTCCTTGTCACCATAGACATAGTACCTCACGAAGCCGAGGGCGGCCATCTTGTATTCAGTGATGTAATCCTTCACGCTCCTCGGCCCCCCTTCCAAGAAAGCCTCCACCTGAGCGTCCAGAATAGAGCTCTTCGGCGGGTCGTGCAGGTTAAACCTCCCGGTATGGCCGAGGGAGGGAAACTCGGTGCCACTCTCACCAATGGACACAAACACGAACTTGCTCTTCCACCCATGAATGGACGTAGGAAAATCCGTGAAGCTCCTCTTCTTCGGCAGCTGCTGAAGAGTAGCATAGGCCGCACAGTTCTTGTGGCTTCCTCGGCCGATCTGGTACAGATTCATGAATAGTGCCGTTGTCGGCTTGTAGCCCAACTCCTCACACCGGAGCAAGAACCCCACCATCAAGGAGTAGCTGTTCGGCGTCAGCAAGGCCGGAGGAAGCCCTACCATGTCCAGGTACTCAGTAATGAAAGGGTGAAGGGGGAACCTCAACCCCTTGGCAAAACTCATCGGGTATACTCCAAAGTATCCCGGTGGTGGCAGAAGAACATGGTCCGTCGGCCTGGGTGCCCTTACCCACCCGAACGGCCCCACGTACATCTGGGCAACGAGATAGTCGGCCGCACTGCTCTCCGGCTTTATCAGGTAGATGTTGGTGAGATCCAGACAGGAGATGCCGGGCCCACTCTTCGGCCTCCTTACTCTCTTCGGCTTAGCTGCTCCCTTCACAGCAGACACCGGCCTCGGGCACGGAATGACAGCAGAAGTGGACGCCCCGTCCACCACTCGGGACGCACCTACGTCCTCACCCTTTGAAGAGGAGGCGGACTCCTCGTCCTCGTCTTCCTCGTCCACTGGCTCTCCGGATTTGTATGGACTTAAACGCTCTATCTCCTCCTCAAACTCCTCGAGCACCTCGTAGTCAAGCGACCTCGTGGAGGGCTGGTCGTCATAGGGGTAGTAGTCGTCGTTCAAGCTCTTCATAACTACTACTACGGGCCTAAGGAGACTAACTTAAGATCTAATGGTGTTCAAACGCTTAACACTAGATCAACAACCTAGGAAGCAAAGTATGAAAAGTGACGAAGATCGCGATGAACACTAACCTTGAACAACGAAGAACGCGAAGAACAGGCTTGAGAGTTTATCTCTCTAGAAAATCGGCCAGCACTTCGACAAATTCAGAATGCAAATACGTTTTCTCGTCGGAGGAGGAGGGGTATTTATAGAACCCCCACCCAACGGTCACTACACGTGGCACCCCCCCAATGGCCACACCAACGGCCACCAATGGGGGACCACCACGTCACCAACGGGCCAAACTCCATATCAAGTCCACTGGCAAGACGGACTCTACGGCCTACACACGCTCACCGGCTTTACAAATGCCAGCAAGCGCCCACAATGTCCCACTTGCTCGCCAAGATCACAACTGCCAAACAATAAGGAGACGGCAACGGCCAGGAACGTAACGGCCACAAGATCAAAGGACCCAAGAGCCCAAAAGCCATCGACTCCTCGTAATAACCCTTGATGATAACTCTCTACAAGCGATCTGCGCACAAGGGTTCTCCCACAGGGTTACCTTGGCCAGAAAATCGCCATGAGGGTTGGATTCAGGGGGACTACGGCGAGACCGCTTCGGCCGGGGACTCAAGCAAATCCTTCACCCCTCACTCTCTTCGGCCCGAAGCAGTGGGGGACTGGGGGACTACACCGGCCTCAACAAAACAAAGAGAATAAACAAGGTAACCACAAGACATGGCCACATCATCCACATAGCACAACGGAACCTCATCGGCCAAAGGCCCATAACGTCATTAGCGACGGCCAACAAGCCACTAGTGGCAAGGACACTCATCGTCCTCCGCCAACAATTAATCTTGACGGGCCCTTCGGCCAAGAACACGAAGGCCAACCAGCAACGGCCAAAAGGAGTGCGCGAGCACCCTCATCGGCCACCCAAAGGAAAGGACACCATCGTCCTCAAAGCAAGGAACAACCTCGACGGCCTCATCGGCCCAGATACAAACTTCAACCATCAGCGCCCAAGCAAAACATGCCTTCAACGGCCACCATTGAAAGAGGGACACTCATCGTCCCAAAACGAAGACATCAAGTAAGCAACGGCCTCCCTGTCCACAACGAGGAACAGGTAACGGCCAAGGGCAACAAAGCACAGTAATCTACTCTCCTTCACTTCGTCTACATATCAGCTTAGAGAGTGGGGGACTCCTGATGGAGTATATGGGTCTGAGCCCCCGGACCCACATACTCGGAAGAACAGAAAGCACAAGGCACAGAGTGGCGCCCTCGTCGGCCAGGACGCCCTCGTCGGCCGAAAAGGTCCCAACTCGGATTATGGTCCTGAGTCCAAGGAACCCGGGTGCCCTCGTCGGCCGTGCCCTCGTCGGTCGTGCCCTCGTCGGCCACGCCTTCGTCGGCCACGCCTTCGTCGGCCACGCCCTCGTCGGCCACGAAGACCTCACAGAATCGGATTTTATACTTACTCATTTGTACAGCCCATTAGTGGCTTTGTATTCGGCCCAGTAGCGGTCCAGTTGTAAATGGGCCTCCCAAGCCCAAGGCTTGGGAGCCCAACCCTAATTTTCTCTATAAATACTCCCTTTGGGAGTAGTTATAGGGGTTACGAATTCATTCTATTGAAGCATATTATTGCACTTCTCTCTCTAGCTCTCACTTCTCTCTAGATATACTCTATCAGAGGTATAAAAGACGCCCCAGAAGCATGCGGTACATTCCTACATCGACAATGAGACTGTCATCATCGGGACGTGATTTCAGATTTTGCTGCATCGGAAATAAACTAGGCCAACTTTCCTGCATGCCACTCTCCTCCAGAATGTCTAAGGCATACTTACGTTGACTTAAAATAAAACCAGTAGGTGAGCGGGCCACTTCAATTCCCCAAAAATATTTGAGAGTGCCAAAGTCCTTGATGGTGAATTTTTCATCAAGATACTGTTTAACGTGCGTGATATGGGCCATATCATTACCAGCTAGTAAGACATCGTCCACATAAATGAGTGCCGCAAGGTACACATTTTTACATCGGTAAATAAGTAGTGAATGATCAGCCCGAGACTGTCTAAAACCAATGTGTGTGAGAGCAGTGGTAAATGTTTTATACCAATTTCTTGATGTTTGCCGCAAGTCATAGAGAGATAATTTATGAAGTTTGCATACACGAATGTTATCCTTTTTATCGAATCCTTGTGGGATGCGCATGTAAACGTCTTCATGCAAGTCTCCATGAAGGAGGGCGTTATTGACCTCAAGTTAATGTACACTCCAATTACATTTGGCCGTAACATCTAGTATACACCATACTGTGATGAGTTTTGCGACAGGAGCAAATGTCTCGTGAAAATCAATGCCCTCAATTTGTATGAAGCCCTTGGCTACCGGGCTTTGTATCATCCAACCTCCCCATTGGGCTTGTATTTTATTTTATAATTAAACCCATTTGGATTCAACAACCCGTTTTCCGGGGGTAGTTGAACTAATGACAATGTGTCGTTGGCTTCAAGTGCCTCTATCTCCTTTTGCATCGCTTCCCGCCATAAAGGATCTTGTATAGCTTGAGAAAAATATTTGGGCTCATCATGTGATGTGATGGCCGCTAAGAAAGCACAGTGAGCCGGTGAGAATTTATCATAAGAGATCAAATGTGTAAGGGGATGTACCGTTGAGTGTGTCGAATGGGATGGAGGTGCTTATGGATCGAGTGAGGGTAGCAATGAAATATCAAAACTCTCGAGATGCTTTGGACGCCGGCGAACCCAATCACTCCTCCGATTTTCCTCAATGTTATTATCCGTTTTACCTTGGTGCTGTATTGCGGGTATAGATGTAGTCTCCGGACTGTCCGTAGACGTGTCAAGCACAAGAGGTGTCTCTAGACTGGCTGGGACCGAGTTTTCAATGATAGGTTGCATGTTGCGAATTGCTGGTCGAGTGGTGTTAGCATTCGTAGGTGAGGTTATGCCCATGACCTTTTCAAGTGCTAATTGAACACGTCCTTCGAAGGATTGGTCACATACGTAAGGAATAACCTTGAAAGGAATCATCTCTTCAAAGAAAGTGACATTTCTGGAGGAATACATTTTTCGAGTAATTAAATCAAATGTTTTATAAGCCTTTTGCCCGTTAGGATAGCCTATAAAATGCAAGGATTCCCTCTAGCTCCAGATTTTTCCTTTCTTTTATTATCATGAGCATATGATAAACATCCAAATACTCGGAGCCGTTGGTAATTAGGTTGTTTACCTAAAAGCAACTCATAAGGGCTCTTGTTTAAGAATATACTCTCCCCAGAATTCAATGGGCAACCCTGATTGAAAACGCAAGGCTTTAGCCACCTCCATAATGTGACGGTGTTTGCGTTCCACAACATTGTTTTGTTGTGGAGTGTCGGTGCATGAAGTTTCTAAAACAATTCCATGAGAGCTATAATAATCAATTAATGCATGAGTTTGAAATTCAACGCCATTATCAGTCCGAATACACTTGACGAGACTGCCAAAAACTTCTGCAGTTGAAGAAGCTACAGCTCTATATTCAACCTCTGCTGAACTTGTAGAAACAATATGTTGTTTCATAGGCTTCCAAGATATGATGGATTCACCCAAGAACATGGAGTATCCCGTAATAGATCTTCTAGTATCAATACAGCTAGCCCAATCAAAATCTGAAAAACCTTTGAGCTATAAATCAGATTTGGATGAGTAGAAAAGTCCTTGTCAAATAGATCCTTTAAGTTTACGAAGAACTTTGTGAGCAGCAGCCAAATGTGAATAACCAGGTTTTTGCATGAATTGTGCTAAACTGTTGACTGCAAAAATGATATCAGGTCTTGTGATTGTCAAATAAAGTATCTTACCTACTAATGATCTGTTATGTGATGGATCATGTAAGTAATGATCATCAGTAGCACTTAAATGTAGCTTACTATCGATGGGAAATGAAACTGGTTTGTAATCTTGATAACCAAACTGTGTCAAAACATCCACAGTATATTTTCTTTGACACAAGTACATTCCACCAGTAGAACGAGCAACTTTCAGTCCTAAATAAAACTTAACAGGACCCAAATCTTTGATCCTAAAGTTTTCAATGAGAAATTGTTTGAGTAGAATAATTTGTTGCTTATCAGAACAGGCCACAAGTATGTCATCAACATAGACTAGAAGGATCAAAGTGAAGTTGTCTTTGTGTAAGGTGAATAGTGAATAATCCACATGAGACTGAACAAATCCACAGTTGTTTAAGGCTGTAGAAAGCATAGAGAACCATTGCATGCTGGCTTGTTGGAGACCATATAAGTTTTTTAGAAAAAGATAGTCTTTCTTCTTTCCCTTTTGTTCAAAACCTGATGGGATAGTCATATACACCTCTTCATGCAGATCTCCATGGAGAAAATCATTGTCCACATCCATTTGCTCTAAAACCCATCCCTTGGAAGCTACTAGAGCAAGAAACACTCGTATAGTGGTTAGCTTGGCAATTGGGGAAAATGTATCCATGAAATCCAATCCTTCAAACTGTGTAAAGCCTTTAGAAACCAACCTTGCTTTATTTATTTATATTGTACCATCATAATGACATTTAACCTTGTAATCCCATTTACACTTAATGGGAATCTTTCTGGAAGGCAGATAAGTGATAACCCAAGTTCCATTAGATTCAAGTGCAGTAATCTCATCTTGCATAGCTTGAATCCAATTTGGATTAGAAGATGCTTGGGAATAAGAAGTGTGTTCAATAATGTGGGTTATAGCAGCAGAGAAGGCTTGATATGAAGAAGAAAACTTATCAACATTAATATAGTTAGATATAGGGTGAAAAATTTTACCAGACTTTCTTTTGAAAGATGAAGAATTAGCATTTGAATATCCATCTTGAGTGACAGTACATACATAATCCTTGAGATGTGAAAGAAGTTTTCCTAGTCTAGAAGGTCTATGAGATATGGGTAGACCCTGACTGTAATTAGAATTATTGAGGTGTTGTTCATTGTTTGATGAAGAAGTAACAGGTTCTGTGGAAGATGAATTGATAGTTTCAGAAATGGTAATAGGAAAAACGGTATCTTCATGTGTGTTAGGAAGATGATGAAATGGAAATATGGATTCATGGAAAACTACATCTCTGGATATAAAAGTTTGGTAGATAAAAGTTTTGAGAAGGATAGCCTATGAAGATACACTTCTTTCCTCTTTGTTGGAATTTGTCTTTATGCCCAATGAGATTGGAAGCATAACATAGGCATCCAAAAGTTCTGAGATTAGAGAAATTAGGAATTTGGTTGTGAAGAACCTCAAATGGTGATTTGTTCTTTAGGACAAGGGTAAGTAGTATGTTAACCATGTGTGTTGCAGTAAGGATGCAGTCACCCCAAAAAGATAAGGGCAAATGACACTGAAATATCAAAGCTCTGGCTATATTTAAGAGAGTTTGTTGTTTTCGCTCAGTGACTCCATTTTGCTGTGGAGTATATTGATAGTATACAAATATGTTTGTTTGTGTATAATTTTAACTAGTTTTATTTGTTGTTGTTTGGGAAATTACACACTTTAGGTGTAATACTTTAATTTTCGTATTTGTTTGTAAATTGTTTAGATTAGGGATTTTCTGAGCTTAAACTAGGTAAAGATCATTAAAAGAGTCCTGGAAAGGTCATGGAAAGTGCAAGGGAACAAGAAAAAGTGAAAATTTGGGGAAAAGGTCAAAAACCCGGTCGGGTTTGACTTGACCCGAAGATCAAATCTGATTTCGGAGGCAATTAAACGTGCAGGGCGAAGATTTGGCAAAGATTTGTCTTTTACCCGATCGGGTAAATCAAAAACCCGATCGGGTAAATGTGACTAATGAAGATTCCGGGCACTTTCTCAAGAAACCCGGTCGGGTTTCTGAAAAACCCGGTCGGGTAAATGACCCTGCCACCTCCAAACACCTATAAATACACCCCTTTTCCTTCCCATTTGATATCCCTTCTTCCATACTCTTAAGCTCAATTTAGAATAACATTTCTTTATGTTTTTCTAGCTATGTTTAGTCTCCAAATGAGAAGCTAAACTTCCAGTTCTTGGTGTTGCTCTTGAAGCTTGTTGATTATTAAAGTTGTGAGTTATTTTCTTAACTTCTTCCCTTGAATATTAATTATTAGTTCTTTCCTTAATACTATCTCTATATTAATGTTGGGGAGTGTTGCTAAGATGACAATTAGTTAACATCTTGACATTAGTTAGAGTAGTATTTTCTTCCTCTATATTAATGTTGGGGAGTGTTGCTAAGATGACACTTAGTTAACATCTTGATATTAATTATAGTAGGATTCATCTCCTTTAATAATATTCTTCCTTGAATATTAATTAATTCCTATTCATATTTCATATTAATATTTTGAACATTACTTAAAGGATCAACTAGTTTTGTTTCATATATTAATTATTACTAGAAACGATCGACGAACCGATGATTAATCGTTGATGGTTTCACAAGTAAGTAACTTCGGTTTATTAATGCACGGTCGTGGTTGATAAACTTAAGAGGGATTAATTTTGTTGGTTAAACCGAAACCGTTATCTTGAGGTTATCAATCTCAATTGATTTCATCAAGGAGTTAAGAGATTAAATGCTACTATCAAGTCGGTATATGGCGATGTTCTATACTTGACTAATAGTAAGAGTTATTAATGAACGGTCGTTGTTAATAACTACCCTCGATGAATTGGATATACTCCTCGATTGAGTATTCGAGAGGGAATAAGTTATAGATATAACAATGATCGACTAAAATATATCAACAAGTGGAAAGTAGCAATGCCAAGTTCTTTTACTCCCTCCGTCCCTAAATAAAAGCATCTGTTTCCTTTTCGGGCCGTCCCTAAATAAAAGTTCCCTTTCCTTTTTTGGCAAACAAAACAGTGCAAAACAGTGTCAAACAGTGCCAAACAGTGTCCAAACAGTGCCAAACAGTACCAACCAAACCCACTTTCTTAAGATGTGTGTAAATTGAATGGATACTTTTATATAGGGACGGAGGTAGTATCTTTGAATTAAAACACATATAGGTTGTTCATCTTAGTTTTTAATTAAATCAAATCATTCAACACCAAAACCCTCCTTTTTATTTACTAAATTCGTAAAAAGAAAAGTATTCCTTTCCCTGTGGATGCAAACTCTACTTCATTATACTACATATAAGTGGTTGTATTGAATTTATTTTGACGCACCGTGACAAAGTGCTCATCATATATGGGCATGTGGTTTGATGCACAATACCCTCAGTAGAATAGAAATCTGGGATAAAAGGTGTTGTTTGGTTTTAGATTTATGTTTCATTAAGCAACACCAAACAACTCTTGAGAAATCATCTACAAACCCACACGTGTAGCTCAGTTGGTTGAGTGGTGGGAAATTTGGATCAAGGGACCAAGGTTCGAATCCCGCATCGACCGTTTGGAGGTTACAGCCTCTGAAATAGGTTGGACCTCTGGCGGGCACGGGTATATGGGCCTATTGCCACTTCATTGACTGAGGCACCGTGATTTACATCCTCCCACGTGCCCTGTCGGGTCGGGGTGTGGGGGGCTCCGGGGGTGGGAGATTCCACCTTTTTCGGATCAAGAGAAATCATCTACAATGGTAAGAAAGTACGAAAAACCATCATAGGTAAGTAACATAAAAGGTCCCCAAACATCACAATGGATCAAATCAAATGTTCTCACAGATTTTATTGAACTCTTAGAAAATGATAATATGTGTTGTTTAGCTAAAGGATATATTTTACAACACTTATTATCAAGAACAGAAATGTGTAATGCATCTTACATTGTCTGAAGCTTAGAATCAGAGACATGACCTAGCCTTTGATGTCGAACACTAGAAACAACATTTTGAGAGACATGTATAGAGTTGACTATGGAGACTTGTTTTTGTGGATGCAATATGTACAATCATCTGGTTAAATCAGTAATGCCAATCTTCACTTTCAAAGCTTTGTCTTGTAAAACACATTTGTCAGTAAAGAAAGTGACAAACAAAGGTGTTTCAGTCAACAATTTGCTGACAGACAAAAGATTCACATTGAAGTTTGGAATATAAAGAACTTTGGTTAATATGATGTTTGGAAAAAGTTGGTCTGTTCCAATGTGAGTAACAACAGCTTTGGATCATGTGGGTAAATGAACAAAAAGATCTGAAATAGGAATAAAAGAATGTAGAAGAGAGGAGTTGTTGACCATATGATCAGTGGCTCCTGTGTCTAGGATCCAGGATTGACAATTGGGTAAAAAAGCATTAAATTTCATTATAGTAGTACAAAAAGTAGAATGACTATCTGAGTTGAGATTTTGGTTAGAAGAGGAGAAATGAGAAAGATTGGTGTTCTGGGTTTGAGCCAAAATTTGAATCAAACTAAGCAAAAGTTGATACTGATCTTGAGTCACTATGGAATTTGGTTGATCTCCTGCTGCCTGTGGAATATTTTCAGCCTGAACAGCATATGCCTTGGACTATCCTGAATTAGTTCCCCCATTAAGGATGTTTTTACTTGGACTGTAATTCGTCCCAGACCAGACCAGATCAGACCAGACCAAACCAGTTCAGATCAGACTTGGATAGTTATAAAAATACAAAGAAACCAGACCAGACCAGTACAGACCAGACCAGATCAGACCAGACCAGATCAGACCAGACGAGACCAACAAATTACAGTCCAAGTAAAAACATCCTAAAAGTTTGGTTCTGCAGCTGTTTTCCTTTTGGTCAACAGTGTGATTATTAAAACCACAATGAGTACAGACCATCTTATTGTCCTTTTGAATCTGGTTATAAGGTTTAAAACCTTTACCATAATGACCATAGATTCAATAGTCAGAATGTTACTTGTGCTCCTTTGCATTTCATCTTGCAATACGAAACTGAAAAACCTGATTTAGAGATGGAAAAGGCTTCATGACCAAGATCTGAACTTCCTTTACTCATCATGACCATAGATTCAATAGTCAAAATGTTACTTGTGCTCCTTTGCATTTCATCTTGCAATACGAAACTGAAAAACCTGATTTAGAGATGGAAAAGGCTTCATGACCAAGATCTGTCCATGAATTCTAGTGAAAATATCATTCAGACTCATCAAGAATTTGATAGACGTGCCTCTTTCTTCACACTCAATTAAGGTTTTCAGGAAATCACATTTGCATCCCTTTACAACTCCACAAATGCAAGAAATCACAAGATTATTTCTCTCCACAAGGAATCCAACTTGTTGTAATAATCTGTAACACTCAAATTACCTTGAACAGTAGAGTAAATTTGTTTCTGCAGATCAAAAACTCTTGGAAGATTCCCTTGAGAGAAACGTTTTTCAGAATTGACCACATTTCTGCAACAGTTTCCTCATATAAGATGCATTGCGCTACTTCTTTCGTGCATGAGTTCAGAATCCATGATTGAACCATCAAGTCACTTCTCTCCCATGCTTTGTAATCTTCATGATTTGTATTAGGTTTAGGTATAGTTCCGTTGATGATTTTCATTTTATTCATTGCTCCAAGGACAATTTTCATAGATTTGCTCCATGAATGATAATTGTTTCCATTCAAGTGTGGATTGACGAGAGCAGCACTAGGATTATTGCCACATCCTACATAGAATGGACTTGAAATATCTTCAACAGCTGGACGTTTTGCTGTAGAAGAATTTGAATCGTCAGTTCGAGGCATGATCTTCAAGATCGTCAAGAAACTTTAGTTTGCAATGAATGTTAGAGCATAAGCTTTGATTCCATGAAGAAAGCAAAAGCTTGAGTTCATGCAGAAAGAATGATGCGTAAAGGAAGAAGATGAAGAAAGGATTTCATGTATTGAGAATTAAGAATGATGATACAAGTTACATGTAAAATGTCTATCCATGTAGGATATATAAACTAGCTATTACAAATGAAATGTAACTGATCTAACTGATTTGAATTCTAGAATATTCCAACTCATGCTCTTGCTTCATCTTTAGACTGCATGCATGCTCCTTTTGTTGCTTGTTTATTCCGTTTATTCTTTGAGTGCCTATATGCTTGGAAACAAAAATGTTAGAAAAATAATCCCAATCAACCCCCATCTCCTCCCTCTCTTTCACGGTTTCATCCAAATGACCCCACAGATAGCAAGTACACATGAGGGTCTTTATATACAATGGTTCAGCTATTTAGATAACTAGTACGGTAGATGCTTTGAACCATGACTTCATTGACAATATCTAAGATTATTTTCTCCAAAAAGTACATCTTTAAAACACAGATGTAAGGGTTCCAATTTCTACTTTTTTATTAGTAATTTAGTAGTACAATCATACTTTCTCTCTGAATAACCCTTTTGATAGATTAAAAGAATATCAAATTCATTAATTTATCCCTCTCTATATGTGTGTGTTTAACTTTGGAAAAATATTAGCAAGTTTCTTGAATCGTGAACATCTATGCAGGTATGTAGTTTTGCGTGGAAGCAGCGGTTTTTACTCTTATGCTATACTTGAACGTTTAGATGGTTGGCCAGATATAGATGTCTACCAAGGCCGTATAGTATTCAAACTTGATCAAGAGTTGTAAGTATTTCAATACCTACATAGCAAGTTGATACATAAAATATAAATAAATAGATATTAACTTCATACTTATTCAAAATTAGAGAGTGTGAATAGAACACATTTTAAGGAAACAAACTTTATTCTTTGACTTCTTGAATAACTTAAAGCTTTTTGCCACTTTGAGCTCTCAGCTCTGCATTACCTTAATTAGAAATATGCACCACCATGGAACAAAATGTGCACCGCTTCAAAGGATTCACTTTTCTCACATGAAGCGTCATTCTCACTAGAACCAAACCACATGTGCACACATACTGTTAAGGGCCTTGGTACAAGATCTAGTCCAAGGTCGATGCTTCTGAGAAGAACAAGAAAAATATGAATCTATGGTGCCTGAAATATTAATCGACTCCCGCCCTCGGCAAGGAGTTTGTCGCAGGTTCCACCGTACGCCAAATAAAATTAATATTCCAAAGCTAATCTCATTAATCCAACTGATAAGCCTTAAATAGGCTAAAGACAAGTTTCCTAAAACAATAATAGGAAAGAAGTAATACAGAAGCTCCTAAACTAGTATAAGGAAACCTGAATAAATAAACTCAAAGTAGGAAACTGATTTAATTAATTAAAATAGACTCAAAGTAGGAAACTGATTTAATTAATTAAAATAATGAGGACCACTCAAGCTGGTCCCTTCTTTGACCGCCTCTGGTAGACTCTGCCAAATCGACCCATATCATCACTCCCTCCGTTGACAACGAGCTTGTCCTCAAGATCGAAATCAGGAAAATTCTCACAGAAGGAATCCAATGTTTCCCATGTAGCCTCTTCCAAAAGCTGTCCTGCCCAGTGGACAAGTAGTTCCCAGCTACCCTGATATGGACGAGCCTTCAAAATGGACAGAGGTTGGAGTGGGGGTGGCAGGCTGTTCAGTTCTGGTAAGGTTCCCATCGTCAAAGGTGTGTCTCCTCTGTGTGGCTTGAGTAAAGAGACATGAAAGACGTCATGAATTTTGCTTGATGGAGGAAGTATCAGGCGATAAGCAGCTTGCCCAATAGCTTCCTTTATCTGAAAGGGCCCAAAAAACTTGGGTGAAAGCTTGTGAGTATGCCTGATGAGTGACAATTGGCGATGCGGATGAATTCTGAGCCAAACCCAATCACCTGGGGTGAATGACAAATCCCGATGGCCCTTATCGTATTGGAGTTTCATACGTTGTTGAGCTTGGAGCAATCTGGTCTTGGCTATGGTGAGGATGGAGTCGCGGTCAATGAGCGCTTGGTCCACTGCGTCGAGCTTGGCAGTGCCAGGTGTGTAAGAAAGTAGCTTGGGCGGGTCACGACCATACACTAACCTGAAAGGAGTATCACCTAAAGATGTATGGAAAGATGTGTTGTAGCAATACTCCGCCCATGGAAGCCAACGAACCCAATCTCGTGGACAGTCGCCGGTAGTACAACGGAGGAACATTTCCAAGGTGCGATTCACCACCTCAGTTTGACCATCTGTTTGAGGGTGGTAGGCTGAAGAAAATCGAAGTTGGGATCCACAAAGACGGAATAACTCACGCCAAAAGGAGCTCACAAACACTTTATCGCGGTCAGAGACAATTGATTCCGGCAGGCCATGGAGGCGAAAAATTTCAGAGAAGAAGACTGCTGCCACTGAAACAGCCGTAAATGGATGTGCTAGTGCAATGAAATGAGCAGCCTTAGATAACCGATCAACAACCACAAAAACAACTGATTTTCCCCGAACCTTGGGCAATCCCTCGATGAAGTCCATGGAGATATCTGCCCAAATGTGATGAGGAATGGGCAGGGGCTGCAACAAACGGAGGTTCAGCCATTTGTGTTGTTGACACACTTGGCAATCCCGCACATGGTCGGTGATAGTCTTTTTCATGCCAGGCCAATAAAATTCGCGACGCACCCTCTGTAATGTCTTAGCACTGCCTTCATGGGCCATGGAGTGGAACAAATTGACTATAGTTGGAATTGCAGCAAAAGATGGCAGTAAGTACACTTTATGTTGGAAAAACAGCAACCCCTCTCGATATGCCCACTCGGTTCCCAAGGCACCTTCGTCAAGCTGGCGTCGAAGAGCTCCAATTTCGGACGAGGAAGCTTGTTCCTTACGGATATCCTCAAGCAAAGTTGTATAAGGAATGGACAACGCTGCTAGGTGAGGCTGAGACTCATCACGGCGAGATAAGGCATCGGCAACCGTGTTGTACCGACCAGGTTTGTATTCTACCCGGAAATTATACCCCATCAACTTACTGAGCCAATGTTGTTGGGGAGAAGTCGTTAAGCGTTGCTCCAGTAAGTGTTTCAAGCTAGAATGATCGGTACGAATTAAAAATTCTTGCCCCCAGAGGTACGGTCGCCAATGGGTTACTGCCTTGGCCAACCCGATCAATTCCCGCTCGTATGCGGCTAATTTGATATGACGATCTGCTATTTTGCGGCTGAAATACGCGACAGGATGACCCTCTTGTTGCAAAACTGCCCCAAAGCCACTCCCTGAGGCATCACATTCAATGACAAATGGAATTGAAAAGTTGGGCAGTTGAAGTACAGGAGCTGTGGCCAAGCAATGTTTAAGTTGGTTAAAGGCAACAGTGGCCTCCTCATTCCAATGGAATGAATGTTTCTTTAAGAGTTGCGTGAGTGGCAAGGCAACCTCCCCATAATTTTTGATAAATTTACGGTAGTAGCCAGCCAGGCCTAGAAACCCACGCAAGGCCGTTAGTGTCCCTGGCAGAGGCCACTCTTGGATGGCTTTAACTTTCTCCTGGTCAACCTTGACGCCTTTTTCGTGAATGATGTGACCCAAATACTGCACACTATCAGTTCCAAAATAGCATTTGGAGCGTTTAAGAAATAGCCCATGTGCTCGGAGGATATCAAAAACTAAGCGGACATGATGGATATGCTCCACCCAGCTCTTACTATAGATTAAGATATCGTCGAAGAAGACCAGAACAAACTTCCGGAGATAAGGGCCAAAGATGTCATTCATTAGGCATTGGAAGGTGGATGGGGCATTAGTGAGGCCAAAGGGCATGACCAAGAATTCAAAATGACCATGGTGTGTGCGGAAAGCTGTTTTGGGAATGTCCTCCTGGGCCATTCGAATCTGGTGGTAGCCAGACCGGAGATCCAACTTCGTAAAAACTTTTGCCCCATGGAGCTCATCCAACAATTCATCGATCACCGGAATTGGGTATTTATCCTTCACTGTTTTACTGTTCAACTCTCTGTAGTCGACACAGAAACGCCACGAGTCATCATGCTTCTTAACCAAGAGCACTGGAGAAGAGAATGACGAATGACTAGGTTGAATGATCCCTTGTTCTAACATTGCAGCACATTGTCGCTCAATCTCATCCTTTTGGAAGTATGGATAACGGTAGGGGCGTACCACAACCGGGCCACAACCAGGAACTAAAGTTATGCGATGATCGCATGGCCGTGGAGGTGGCAGACCGCGCGGTTCCTGGAATAAATCCTGGAAGTTGCAGAGAATACCTTCTAGGGGTGAATGCTCATGTGAAGTGGGAAGTGCCATGTTTGCTGGTTTGCAGTATGGCGTTGGTTTGCCCTGCCATATGACGGTTGCACCCATCCAATGAAATTGCATAGACAGATTGTGAAAATTCCATACGATCGCGCCTAAGTCTCGTAACCACTGGACCCCCAAAATCATATCAAAACCAGCCATGGGAAGAACATAAAAATCAGCATGGAAGGGAACTCCCAAAACCTCAAAAGTTAACTGAGGACAGCTACCCAAAATAGGGACCTTTTCGCCATTTGCCACCACCACAAATAAAGAATTGTCTGTGGGTGAACTATACTCGAGTCCTTGAGCCAATCGTGCATGCACAAAATTATGCGTGCTCCCAGAGTCGACTAGAATCAGAACTGGTTTACCTCGCAAGGAAGCTGTAATTTGCATTGTTGTGGGTGAGCAGGAACCTGACATGGCATTGAGGGACAAGGCAAAGTCAGAATCGATTGTTTCATCGCCTTCGTCATCCCAGATTTCCAAGGCAAAAAGCTGCTTGCAACGATGACCGCGAACATAACGTTCATCACAATGATAGCAAAGACCTTTGGCTTGGCGACTGGCTGCCTCCGCTCTGGAAATCCGACGACGCCAAGTGGGAGGCTGCTGTGAGTCCTCAATGGTCTGCTTTGGATTTGAAGCAAGCAGACTGGTTTGTGATGCGATAGGCATAGGGGATTGTCTTGGTTGAGGTCGTGTGACTGGGAGTAGTGCCACAGATTGTTGTTTGCGCTCAATCTGCCTGGCCAGATTCATGGCAACGTCCAAGCTTCCTGGAGCCTGAAACTCCAGTTCTAAACGGATTTCCTGACGAAGCCCTGCCATGAATGCGTTGACTTCAAATTGACTGGGTAATCCATCTACACGCGCCAACAGTTTCTGAAACAAACTAATATATTCCTCCACTGTCCCCGTTTGTTTGAGTTGAAAAAGATCTCCCGAAGGGTTGGTGCTTAAAGGTGGTCCAAAACGAAGGAGACAGTTTTCAGAAAAGGTGTTCCACGATATACCTGCACGCAGTTTATCTGCCCAGAGTTGAGCATCGCCTGTCATGTGAAAAGTAGCTAATCCGACACGTGCGATGGGGGCTGTCTGTTGATGTGAAAAAAATCGTTCACAACGCTTCAGCCAGCTCAGTGGGTCACTTGTACCATCATAGGTAGGAAAATCGAGTTTGGAATAGCGGGGCACAATGTTATTCTCGCTACTGACTCGAGTGTGGTGTTCGTGAAATTCCCTATGATCACCATGGGATCCGGAGGGGCTGTTACTGTTGGAGTCAGTATGTGGGCCTGCAGATTTACTAGTCAGGGCGGCAAGCTGCGTGGAAAAAGATGTAACGAGATCTGTAATTTTTGCCTCAAGCGATCCTTGTCGCTGGTTAATATCTGCCATGAAGGTTTTGAGTGTCTCTGCGGTGATGTGCTCGTTCCCCATCGTTCTGGGCTCTGATACCAAATTGTTAAGGGCCTTGGTACAAGATCTAGTCCAAGGTCGATGCTTCTGAGAAGAACAAGAAAAATATGAATCTATGGTGCCTGAAATATTAATCGACTCCCGCCCTCGGCAAGGAGTTTGTCGCAGGTTCCACCGTACGCCAAATAAAATTAATATTCCAAAGCTAATCTCATTGAACCAACTGATAAGCCTTAAATAGGCTAAAGACAAGTTTCCTAAAACAATAATAGGAAAGAAGTAATACAGAAGCTCCTAAACTAGTATAAGGAAACCTGAATAAATAAACTCAAAGTAGGAAACTGATTTAATTAATTAAAATAGACTCAAAGTAGGAAACTGATTTAATTAATTAAAATAATGAGGACCACTCAAGCTGGTCCCTTCTTTGACCGCCTCTGGTAGACTCTGCCAAATCGACCCATATCACATACACATATGTATATCCACCGAAAGAAAACCACTAGAAATGATATAAAAAGAGATGAGGAGCTCTTAGCTACTTTTATTAATAATAAGCTTGAAGGAATTACGAACTCCAATGAAAGTTGAGACCTGTTGAAACAAAGAAAAAACCAAATGAAAAAGAAAGCATATGATAACGAAAACGCTAAAAGAGTAATCCAAGAAACCGACCCCGAAAAGTTATCTTCACAAATTACATGAAGTCGATCTCAACTCAGTTCCAAAACCCAAATAATAAGAACAGTATCCTACAATATGCAAGACCCCCAGTTCCCTTGGGCAACCGGGTCAATCTGTTGGTGACGGCGGTGACAGGGAAAGCTCCGGTGAGGTGCGGCTACACAAAAAGGCGGTACATCTATCCTGGAAATTTCCAGCAGATTTCGGGGCCGGAGGTGGCGCCAGGTGGCAGGTCTGCAGCAGGGGGCAGATGGCCGGTGACTGGAGGATGGAGGCGGTGTCCGGCGTTGGTGGCCGGCGGTGGTGGTTGGGCTGGGCACTCCAAAAGGCTACAAGAGTATATTTGTCCAAGCAGATTAGTCCTATTTAGGGAATTTAAAACAATATATTCCTATTTGTGAATTTAGAGTGTGTTTTACTCCTTTTAAACGTGCATAAACGCAGATAGCTTTAACAGTCTAAAATATTAGGAGTCTAAGAAGAAGATTGTTAGGAGTCAATAGAAAAAATATGAAAGAAAATGAATATTGAGTGGAACTTCTTAATTCCAGTTGATATGTTGTTTATATGAGGAACGAAAACGGAAAGAACAGTACGAGATAAATGTCATTCCCCTTTTGCCGGGCTTGATATGCATTGGCCGACCTCTTCCTCTTGTATGTTATCACATTAAAAAAGGTTAAACTTTATAGAAATAGTAACCAAGGCAAGAATTTTATACATGTTAATTTGTACTGCTATACTTAGTCAGGCGGGTGAATTCATCATCGCCTCTGGCGTTAAATACATTTTGCCTAGGTTCCAGTATATGGCGGTGTCTGATGAGAGGCAGAGAATAATGCCAACGGCGCAAGACCGACAAGAGGGTAAAATACTTGATTACCCGGAAGCTGTTCTTTTGATAAACCCAAAAAACTCTTTCTTGAGGGGAGAGGTAAGGGTGAACCATATATTATGTGACCTTTTTTTTGTTGATGTACTTCATACTATCTAGGATATGAGTGGATTATGTTTTTTTAAAGGCGTACACATGAATTAAGTCATGTTCAACAATATATAAACTGTTTCTTTACATGTTATTTTATTCTTCTTTGGTCACACACACATATATATAGGTTTCGGATCAAATAAAAACCTTTCTTAACGTGAAAACTAAAAACCGTTCACTTTATCCAAATGTGATGCACTTTAAGGGTGATCTGTTGCACTTTTTGAACTTCAGTCGAACCATGCTAAATAAAAAAAATGCAGAGGCATTTTCGTAAATAAGTCAAAGTTTCCTGTCAATGCAAAAAAGTGCAAAATGTAATAGTGCATCACACTGTGGAAAAAGTGGACGGTTTGCAGTGTTCACGATAAGAATGGTTTTCATTTGATCCATACCCTATATATATAATATGTATCAATGTATGTATGTAGGTTGATGATAAATATCAATATTCTTGTGAAGACAAGGATAACCGAGTCCATGGATGGATAAGTCCATACCCGCCGACAGGGTTTTGGATGATCACTCCTAGCAATGAGTTTCGAAACGGAGGACCTTTAAAACAAGATCTTACTTCACATACTGGTCCTATCACTCTTTCGGTAAGTATTAATGGATTGTGTTGGAGTTACTTGTCTAGAGTCTAGACTCAGATCAAAGCAGACTAAAAGATTGATTCAACCTAAGGTCTTGTTTAACCCATCATCCTCTACTAGACTGGTTAGAATGCTTAAGAGGGGCCTGGCACTTTCTTTCAATATTGTGTTTGACGGCACAAAGTTGGGCTTATATTGTGTTTAATGATTTTGCATCAGATGTTTTTCAGCACACATTATGCTGGAGAAATGTTGGGGCTAAAGTTCCGAAATGGAGAGCCATGGAAAAAGGTTTTTGGGCCTGTTTTTGTGTACCTAAACTCAGTTGAAACCGATGAATATGCTTTGGATCTTTGGGCAGATGCAAAGGAGCAGATGTTCATAGAAACTGAAAGTTGGCCATATGAGTTCCCACTCTCTGAAGAATTCTTTCCAGCTCAGAAAAGAGGTCTGATAAGTGGAAGGCTACTCGTTCGAGACAGGTAAATATAAATCTCTAGGATTCTTCTTCAAACAGAATATGTTAGGCCTGGCCCGGGTTGATCTTTCATAATGAAATCACATGCTTTTTTACTATAGTAGTTTTGAGACATATTAAGCTCTAACATGCAATTCGATCCAGGTTTGTTTAAAGTGAGCACGTTGACTTCAAGAATTTTCTTATTTAACGGATAAGCATGCAGCAAACATGTTAGGCTGTATGCTACTTCGTATTGAGTTGATCTTTTCGAATACAATCTGAAATTTTAATAGAATGAAACAATATAAATTGGGCAGATTTAGAGCCTTTTCTTTTTTCGCCGCAGCTACATCAATGAAAGGCTTATGGCTGGTAGTTCTGCTTCTGTTGGGCTTGCTCGTCCAGGCAATCTAGGATCATGGCAATATGAAAGTAAGGTCAACATTTACCACTGATGCGATCATTCTCAATAAAAAAAGAAAAAGCTAGGCGTCTGCAGATTGGGACATTCCAGTGAGGGAATAATTGGAGTCATATCAAGATTTGGTTGCACTTGAGCTGAATACATGTACACGATGTTTTATTTTTTAGCATTGGGTGCCTGTTAACCATACTCTAGCTATTGCCTAGAACCTTGCCCCAACCATTCCACTCCAAAATCTAGAGTAAATCGCTGAGTACTTGGCGACTCATTTACACGCCGAGTAACTCGGTCGTATTAAAATATTATATATTTTTCCTGAAGTATTGAAACTAAAGATTGATTTTTTTTGAAAAAAATAAAGCTTTATCTTGATAAAAGGAAAAAGAACATCATAATTCTAAATTTGGGATGTATTAAAGTTAAGATTTCACATGGTGAGGTTCAGAATACGTATTTGCAGTGTAAATTCGTCTTGGAATTGGTGTGAGGATTAGTTTAGGATATAAGTTAAAAATTAGTACTCTGTATTTATTAGATGATGGATCTTCTTTATATAATAGACTTATAAGACTAATGTTACCAGAAAATTATGGCATACTTAAAAAAAATTATTAGTAGAAGACGGAGTAGCCAGAGTACCAATTTAACTACCTAGATCACTAGTAAGTGTCTGCCAATGTACCCTACAACAGATTAGGTCTAAGGGAGAACTTATTTTTCCTGCGCAATATTTTTTTACAACAATTGAAAGTTTAAAATATGACCTGGAAGGGGTGGCTGGGGGGAGCAGTCAACGCGTGGCTGTAAAGTCATCCTGAATCTTATAAACATAAATATATATATACAGACCAATGCATAAGGTCTCGACCTACTTTTCATGTTGGATTGTCAAATGAATTTTTGCAATGGTGTTTATATCGTGCACAACCTACCTCTTAAGTAGGTAGATGCATTTATTTTACCTCAATGACTCCAAAGAAGTTTCAAACAAACTTGTTCAGTAACAACCACATCCAAGCCTTGGTCCCAAAAGACTTTGGGGTTTCAAACAAACTTGTTAAAGCAAAAAAAAATCTGTTTCAGGGTTATCAGTTCTGGACTGAAGCTGATTCAGAAGGGTATTTCTTGATTAACAATGTTTTACCGGGCAACTATAGCTTGTATGCCTGGGTGCCTGGATTTATGGGTAACTACAGATATGATTTCTACATAACTATCACAGCAGGATCAAGAATCAGGCTTGAGAATCTCATATACGATCCTCCCAGAACAGGTCCAACCCTGTGGGAAGTTGGGATCCCTGATCGGACGGCATCTGAGTTTTTCATTCCCGATCCTTATCCGACACTTGAGAACCAATTGTACACAGAAGATACCTCAGAAAAGTAAGCAAAATTATTTCAATCTTATTACTTAAAATAAACTTCAGTCTATAATTTTAATCATCAATCACATAATAAGAGAAATTTTTTTTTTAATGTTTTTTTTGTTTCTGCGGAATTTCAGGTTTAGGCAATATGGGTTGTGGGACAAATACACAGAGCTGTACCCGGATGAAGATCTGGTCTTTGTAGTGGGAAGAAGCAGTTATGAGATTGATTGGTTTTTTGCACATGTTAATAGATACGTAGTAGATGGGTATGTATGTATCTGTGTGCACTTTGAGTTAATTAATTAATTGAAGGACATGAAATATGTGGGGATCTAATGGTAGAGGAGCTAACAGTTAGAGCGTATGATGATGATATATGGATGAATGTAGGGAGGAAGGAAAGAAACGGTATATACCGAGTACATGGAGAATTGAGTTTGAGCGTGACGAGAGCTTTGATGATGATGAGTTGGGAAACTACACTCTTTGGATCGCATTGGCATCAGCACATGAAGCTGAATTACAGGTACTCACTAACTAACTACATGTATGTATGTATATATATATGTACCCATTGCATTGTGATGAATGAAAAGTAAAGAGGAAGGTTGTTCAAGCGTTTTTCAAATGTAAATACTTACAAGTGGGATGATGTAGGTTGGAGTGAATGATGAAGAGATGGTTGTGCCACACTTCACAACGGGGTTAATAGGAAAGGACAACACAATTGCAAGGCATGGGATTCATGGGTTGTACTGGCTTTTCAAGGTTGACGTGCCCCACTCATCTCTCCTTCCCGCCCCCCACCGCCGCAATTCCCTCTTCTTTAGGCAGGTTAGAGGCTCCAGTCCTTGGAGTGGGATCATGTATGATTACATTCGTTTCGAAGCACCCGCCCCATCCTCAAAATGATTCCTTTTCAACTCCATACATACATGTATGTTTGAAGCAAGGAAAGTGCACCTATATATTAGGTGAATGCGTCACCACATGATCATGTAAGTACACTGAAATGGTTTGCACGCCATCAAATGTCTGGACATGGTAATATATATGAAATGGGTTTGATTCACAAATTTGCAAGAGCGGAAGAAAGTTTTTCAATTTTCATGTATCCAGTATGATATACTCCGTATTAAGCTAACAGCCTTAGGGTAAAGCTTAAAATGAATGGAGTTACTGAATTTTATTTATGTGAAGCCCAAATGATTGAAATTACTAAACACCATTGAATGAGCTCTTATATAATAGCAAAAAAATCAATTATGCCCAATCAACTGGTTTTCCGGTTAATTTGCACGCGTGGTGACCCATGTGGCTGTGGCGATCCATATAAGCTATGTAGAACAATTTAAATGGAATTAGGTGTTTCAGTGATTACCGCTTTGTCTTCTCCGTTCTCAGGCAGTTCAATAGCTTTCTTCATCTTTGTTTCTTTTTCTTCCATTTTCCGTTCTTCCCTAGACATCAACAGAGACCGGCAATCACCCTTCCTTCATCTAGTTTTTCCTCTCCTTTTCCTTTCAGCCTTTCATCTTCTTTTTTCTTTGCTTTATTGCATCTAAATTTGATCTCTCTGACCGGCTGTTGGTTCCTTCTCAAACAGCTCTTTCATCTTTATTCCTCGCAAGAAAAAACTACGAGTACAAAAATAGATAAACCTGAACCAACACACTCTTGGATAAAAATAATGCTCACTTCCTCCCTTAAAACTTTGACAAACTTTGTCAAGTTTGACGACACTTTTGAATTAATAGAGTAAAAACTGTGTGGTTGAGATTTAACTGAAACCACAAATTCTTTACTTAAAAGGAAAAGCGTCAAAGTTAGTGGGACATCCAAAAAGGAAAGTTGACAAAGTTTTAAGGAACGGGGGAGTATAAACGTTTGTAATGATAATGAAAAAATATCACCAACTTTTAATATCCAAATTCGTTAATATTAGGATATTTTCTGAATATAAAATAATATAAATGATTGTGTTAGAATTGTTAAATAAATAAAGGTTGTCAGTAGTTCGTTACATAGCCACTTGTATAGCACTAAACCCTATACATATAAATACTCCCAAGTAGAATATCATTCTCCCTGTAATAACAATGTTCTTTGAGACTTCATTTCCAACTTCTTCTTCCTCACGTATTTATGTATCACCCATTGTATGAATTTCTTCTGTACCATTTCAGTATTCATCTGATTCACATGGTATCAGAGATGGTTATTCTCTTCATCAAATTCTAAATCTAATTCCATCAATGACGATAGACTTCATTGATTTCAATCACGAGCTTTATCTAGGGCAAAGTGATCATCTGAGTTTTGTATTATTAACAAGAAAGCTGGATGGACGAAATTATGAAGTCTGGGAAAGATCAGTTCATATTTCTCTTATTGCCAGAAACAAACTTGGATTTGTTGATGGAAGTTGCAAGAAACCTGAGTCTGATGTAACAATGGCCAAATAGTGGGAACGGTGTGATAAAACGGTAATTTCTTGGTTACTTCATTCTCGTGAAGAGTATTATCGCCCAACGTTCTATATTATAATAGTGCTCAAGATGGCTAAAAGAACTGAATAATAGATTCAGTCAAAACAATGGATCTAAAATTCTTCAAATAGAGAGAATTGAATGGAATGGAACAAGGATCTTTATCTGTTTCTGCGTATTACACCAAGCTGAAGGGTTTATGGGATGCATATGATTGTGTAGTCAAAATGCCTCGTTGCAAATATGGATTGTGTACTTGCAATGTAAATTCAGAAATTTCTAATGTGATCGAGAAAAAGAGATTGGTGAAGTTTTTAATGGGTTTAAACAGTGTTTACAAAACTGTTAGAGGAAATGTGTTGATGCTAGATCCATTGCCTGATGTAACCACTGCTTACAACACAATCACTCAGGATGAAACCCAAAGAGAATTTTCTGATGAAGGAAAAATGAATTCTAAGAACATGGCTTTTGCTGCAAATAAGGTGTATGACAGAGGTTATAGCGTTGGGATGCCTTCAAAATCTGGATATAATTCTGGTGTTGGGAATTCTTGAAATGAGAATTATGCTCAAAACAATGCTAGATATACTAAACAACAAGGTTTCAATAAGAGAATGATGTATTTCTGTGATCACTGCAAAATGAAAGGGCATTTCGCAGAAAGATGTTTTAAATTGCATCCAGAACTCAAGAAGAATTTCAGAGAGAAAAGATTTGCTGCTCAAGCTAGTTCAGATATGTGTTCTTAATTACCATCTACCATGTCTGCTTCTGATGAGAAAATTGGAGTGCTCACACCTGAGTTATATCAACAGATGATATCCCTATTGAGCAAGCAGAATGACAACTATACCGATAATTCCAATGCTGCTCTCTTAGCAGGTAAATTTTGTTTTTTTCTTCATACAATAGTGACACTTGTATTATTGACAACGGTGCTATTGACCATATTACACCACGCCTTTCACATTTATTGACATATGAACCAATTAAAATAGCCTGTCATATCACTATTCCAAATGGTCACAAAGTTTGAGTCTTGTACATAGGCACAATTCAACTCACACCTAACATAATTTTGAATGGTGTGTTACATGTTCCAAATTTTCAGTTTAACCTCATTTCTACCAGCAAAATTACAAAAAGCTCACATTCTCATCTCATATTCACTGCCACCCAATGTTTCATACATGACCATTTGATGAATCATGCTCAACTCCTTGGTAGAGAACATGGTGGTCTGTACTATGTTGCTATGCATACAAGTTCCACAAATTTTTTCGCAAATAGCTTCATTCCTTCCGGTACAACTCAAGCTCATTTGTCCTCAAGTGACCATCAACAACTTTGGCATCGTAGATTAGGACATATGCCTTGTTCTAGAATGAAACATATACATTTAGATTCCTTTTGTAATAATGCTAATAAAGCTTCTACTCTTTTTGAACTTCTTCATGTAGATTTGTGGGATCCATATGCAAATTGTACTCACAATGGTAACAGATTTTTCATTACCATTGTTGATGACTTTTTCTGAGCCACTTGGGCTCATTTGTTAAGCTCTAAATCTTGTGCCTTTTCTTTTCTCCAGAGTTTTGTTACCTTCATTGAAAATCAATTCAAAACTACTCTCAAAATCATAAAAGATCTGACAATGGTATTGAATTTAGAGACAACAATGCCCTTAATTTCTATTCTCAAAAAGGGATTATACACCAAACTAGTCTTGTCAATACTCCTCAACAAAATGGGAGAGTAGAAAGAAAACATAAACATCTTCTTGATATTGCTAGAGCATTATATTTTCAATCCAAGCTTCCCATAAAATACTGGGGTGAATGCCTTCTTCATGCCACATACCTAATAAACAGAATACCTCTTGTTGTTCTAAACAATCTTTCACCCTATGAGCTTCTTTATTCTCACAAACCTTCATGTGACAATTTAAAATGTTTTGGTTGTCTATGTTTTGTTGGCACATCTAAAGTTTCCAGAAAGAAGTTTGAAGAAAGAAGTCATCCTTGTGTTTTCCTAGGATATCCTCGTAATAAAAAAGGATATAAAGTGCTTGATTTGCAAAATCACACTGTTTATACCACCAGGAATGTAAAATTTCATGAACACATTTTTCCTTTTCATCATTTAAACTAGCCTCCATCTGAATCTCGTCTTCCCACAATCACTTCTGACATTTCAACCTTGTTTTATCAAAACTCTACATCTTCCACACATTCTTCTCAATCAACACCTCTTACAGTCCATAATATTCCTGTTTCTGATATATCAATCCAAACATCACCTCCATCTACGCATGATCAAACTGAAGAAAATACACATCAAGCAACTAGAAAATCTTCAAGGACACAAAGACCAACATCATACTTGAAAGATTACATTTGGCCTCTTCAGCCTACATCAAATGCACAATTAAGCAAAACACCACACTATTGCAATCTTGTAGCATTTGATACTCTTCCCTTAGAAAACTAAGCTTTTATTGCCCATATTTCTTCACATGTTGAACATGTGTCCTATCACCAAGCTGTTCAAAATCCTGAGTGAGTTATTGCTAGGAACAAAGAACTTAATGCACTTGAAAAGAATGGCACATGGGAATTCTGTGACTTGCCACCTAATAAATAGGCCATTGGCTCAAAATGGGTGTAAAAAGTCAGGTTAAATTCTGATGGATCAGTAGAAAGATTGAAAGCCAGACTTGTTATTCAAGGAAATCATCAAAATATGGACTAGACTATGAAGAAACCTTTTCATCTGTTGTTAAAATGACACAATCAGATCTGTGTTACAAGTTGCTGCAGTAAGAAAATAGAATGTTTATCAACTTGATGTGAACAATGCATTTCTTCTTGGTGATTTTCATGAAGATGTATACATAAGAGTCACGTTGGGTGTTCCCAATCCAAAAACCAAAGTGTGCAAACCAAAGAAATCTTTGTATGGGTTGAAACATGCTTCTAGACAATGGTTTAACAAGTTAACTACTTGATCTTTAAAGGCTCAATATTACAACCAATCAGTCAATGATTCATCTTTATTCCTAAAGAAAACTGAAAAGGGGTTAACTATTCTTGTTGTCTATGTTGATGACATATTATTGACTGGTTTAGACGGTGATGAATTTATGGCAATAAGGTCTTTCTTAGACAAGACTTTTACCATAAAGGATGTGGGATATCTGCGTTTTTCCAGAAAATAGAATGTTTATCAACTTGATGTGAACAATGCATTTCTTCTTGGTGATTTGCATGAAGATGTATACATGAAAGTCACGTTGGGTGTTCCCAATCCAAACAACAAAGTGCGCAAACCGAAGAAATCGTTGTATGGGTTGAAACATGCTTCTAGACAATGGTTTAACAAGTTAACTTCATCTTTAAAGGCTCAATATTACAACCAATCAGTCAATGATTCATCTTTATTCCTAAAGAAAACTGGAAAGGGGTTAACTATTCTTGTTGTCTATGTTGATGACATATTATTGACTGGTTCAGACAGTGATGAAATTATGGTAATAAGGTCTTTCTTAGATAAGACTTTTACCATAAAGGATGTGGGATATCTGCAATTTTTCCTAGGCATGGTAGCATCTACTACAGCTGATGGTATCATTCTTACTCAAAACAAATTCACTAGAGAATTATTACAAGAGTTTTATGTCCCAGAAAAGAAAGTCACAACACCTTTGCCTTTAAACTGCAAGTTACCTATTGAAGATGAGTCTGCATTTGAAGATCCTTCTTCATATAGAACTTTGGTTGGTAAAATGAATTTCTTAGGACACACCAAGCCCTGACATTGAATTTGCCACTCAATCATTAAGTCAATTCATGCAGAATTCAAAAGTGCCTCATTTTGATGCTTTACAACATGTTTTACAGTATTTAGCATGCATAACAAGAAAAGGCATCTTATTAAATTGTTCAGACAACCTCATTCTACAAGCTTATTAAGACTCTGATTGGACTACATGTCCATTTTCTAGAAGATCAGTCACAGGATATTTGATTCTTTTGAGAGGATCCCCAATCAGTTGGAAGTCAAAGAAACAGTCTACAATTTCCAAATCATCTTCTGAAGATGAATATAGAGCAATGCAGCAAATGATTCATCCTTGAAGCCTATTACAATTCACTGTGATAATCAATCATCAATTCATAT